GCCAGGATACGAACCCAGGACAAAGTGCTGGCAAAACGCCCGGCGAGTATCTTACAAATATATTACGGGGACTGCTTTTGACGGTATTGGTGTCCTGCGCCTCGCCACCCCTATCTCCACAGAACACCGGTGAATCTGTGGCTATGCGTCGGTAGACCAATACGGCAGCCATGGTCCCATCTACTGTAACTCACAGGGAAAGATTGCAAGACATGAAGCAGTAGTCAATGGCATCATCAAGAGAAGTTTGGCTACAGTTGGGTGTCCAGCACAAAAGGATCCTCAGTCGTGCAGACCTGACAACAGTCACAAAAACCGAGATGGAGTCACCCTGCAGCCATGGAGGGTGTTCTTACATTCCTACTTACATATTTCTTACATACTTACATACTGACTGTCGTCAATATAAAGAGAGACTCAGAGTTCTCAAGGCTGTTGCAAGTTATCACTCAGGCTATGGTGCCAATGTCAGAATTGTCAAAATTATGTACCTTGCATACATCAGATCTTTAGTGGATTATGCTGCACCTCTGCTTGCTTTGATGCCTGGAAAAAAAAGCTTGGAGGGCTTGAAAAATTGCAGAACGAAGCCTTGAGGATAATCCTTGGGTGCCCTCGTACCACAAAGACACTTAACATGAGAAAGGAACTTAATTAATATTCCGACCGTCGTTGATCGTGTTGCTGAAATTGTTAAATTGGTATAAAAATGCTTAGGCTAGCTCATCCTAACCCTTGCACATAAGCCCTCCAGAATTTCTTTATTGAAGGTAAACATTGTTCCAAATGGAAAACTGGAACTGAACTCATAATGCATTAGATTTATAATTTGTACCGAGAGACAACAACGGCACTTTCCAGCATCGTGGGAGATTACACATTCCAACTTTAATCCATCCCTTTCCACCCAAGAAGCAAATTAGAGATCAGCCCAAGCTTCGTCCTGAGGCAAAGCTCAACGCATTAAGCCATACTGATGCTCTGTCCACAAAGCATTCTCTCTCTTAAATCATATACACAGATGGTTCCCTACATCGCCCCACGGGTGCAGCTGGAAGTGCATTTGTCTTGACAATGGTCGGTGGCTTATATTTTGAGTGGGGATTCTGTCTAAATAACTGGGCCTCTACTTTTCAGACCGAACTATTTGCCTTGCTTCTTGCACTGAAATGTGTACAAGTCTCCAAACTTGATACATTAATTGTAAGTGACTCTTTATCATCCTTAATTGAACTCAACTCTTTAAATATCTGTAACATGCTCGTGTCTGAAGCTAGACACAAATACTGTACAACAAATTTATTAATGATGGTAATAGAGTCCATTTCATGTAGACTTCATCTCATGTTGGCCTCCGAATGCATGACAGAGTTGATGAGTTAGCCAAAGAATCCACAGAAATCGAGTTTAACCTTGGATTATCAATAAGCAGTCTGAGAGCAATAGTACACCAAGAACTTCAACAAAATCTTGTAGACCTGAGGTAAAGTGAAATCGACACCAGTAATTATATCTATCATCATAATATCATGTAAGAGGAACCACACATCTATGGATCATCCAATAAAATCAGCAGACTTCTAGATGTTACTACTGCTCGGCTTAGATTCGGTTACAAGTAACTCTGGGAATTCTTATTATCTGCTGATATAGACCTGACCAAATGTAAACTGTGTCAACAAAATTATTCGCACACCCTCCGTCATTATGTAATGGAGTGCGAAAAGATACGTGAATTCAGAGACAATTCTATAACAAGTGTTCCAGAGATGTGTAAATATTTCATTCAAAATGATCTGCTACCAGAAATCTTAGCCAAATGTCCCCAGTTTGCTAACTGTAGGTAGTATCTAAGTGATTGTAACCTATCCACCGCTGCCCACTGGATGGGGGAGGTGGGGGAGAAATGCATCAATTGTCATACTAGCTCTCCACATATGTCAGTTGCTTAATTTAGAAACTGTACTTGTAGTCGGTCTCGAGCCCATTGTTGATGTAACGATGTGCAATGAATGTTTTAACTAGTTCATCAAGATTGTAACTTTCTTAGGTAAATGAATTGTGGGGTTCAATCCCTGAGCCCATTATGTGCCTCTGTAACCCTTTAAAATACCGCCCACAATATGGGTATGGGGTGCATAACAAATATACTAAATCTAAAACATGTACTCTCATAAACCCAATGTACCTTCTGGTATATATAAGTAAATAAAATAAAGTTATAAATGAAGAAAGCCAAATATGAATGTAGAATTGAGTTCATTTATTATGCACCCCATACCCATTCGGTGTGCTGTAATGTTACATTTTATACAATTCCAATTTCTTTCTTTATTATGCACCCCATACCCATCCCGTGGGCGGTGGTGTAAAGGATTACAGAGGCACATAATCGGTTCAGGAACTGAACCCTTTATACAGAGGTGCATTTTTGGTCGTGCGGGTGAAATTGAAACACCATACGCAATATAATTATTAAATAATTAACATATTTACAACTGTTTGATGCAGCCTATAGTGTGCATGTGCAGGTATGTACTGTATATGTAATGTGACCTTAATAAGCTATACTTTTATACCTATTTTACGTAAGTAGGAGCACATGCACTCGTAAAGACACAAGTACTCATCGCTTGCGGGGGTTGAGATTCGGGTCTTTGGTCCCGCCTCTCATCTGCTGTGCCTAAGCCTATTGGCAGTCACTTATTACAATATTATCTCCCCTGAGGGAGTGGACCATTTGGTCCTAATTAAAAAAAACCCATGGATACTCCATAGTAGACTTGAATCTCACCGCTCAGCCTGTGAGAGCCTCCTCCACTCCCGGTAAACCAGGAGGGAACGGTCATCAATGTCCAAGAGTCTTGTCTTGAACAGCTTCCCGCTCAGAGGCTCACACTTAGCTACATCATCGCGGTGTGATTTCTTCAGAGTTTCGGACAAGGAACTCGGCAGTCATACTATAGAATTGATCCTATGAAGTATGATCATAAGGTTCAGATCGTTCTCTCGAGGCCTCCCACATCGGTCTGCTGACTATCGAGGAACAGATCATCCAATCTTATTAGTTATGGAAACTTTAAAACAATTATAAAATAATACAACGTTATTTTAATATGCGCAACAAGCAATAAAATATACATTTTATAGCATCAACATTTTATAGTTTTATTTCATATATTATTATAAAGTTTGCTTATTTGAATGCTTTCGCTTCGATGTCCAAAGGTTTTGGAAAGGATGGGGAAGATAGAGGGATGGGAGGTGAAATTCTATAATAATAATAATAATATTTTATTTAGAAAAAGTACATACATAGATGCAGAGTTACAAACATTCTGATTGATTTATAGATAGATCTAGTACATACAATACCTAAAACCACTAGTACGCATAGCGTTTCTGGAAGATGAAGCGGGTGTAGAGAGAGAGGAGGTTTGAAAGTTCGGATGCCTGTACACCAGGAGTTGGCATATATGTGTGTGTCGTTTGTTGTGGTATGTTGGGTTGTCAGTATATTAGTTGAGTGGTCAGTGTTTGTGTCCTAGCTGGTGTCTGGAAGCCCTAGAGCCGATGGGTTGGCTGCAGGAGATTAATCTTAGCAACTATGCAGTCTCCGTGGTGTAGTGGTAAGACACTCGCCTGGCGTTCCGCGAGCGCTATGTCATGGGTTCGTATCCTGGCCGGGGAGGATTTACTGGGCGCAATTCCTTAACTGTAGCCTCTGTTTAACGCAACAGTAAAATGTGTACTTGGATGAAAACACGATTCTTCGCGGCAGGGGATCGTATTCCAGGGACCATAGGATTAAGGACTTGCCCGAAACGCTACGCGTACTAGTGGCTGTACAAGAATGTAACAACTCTTGTATATATCTCAAAAAAAAAAAAAAAAAAAACTATTTGTATGGGTTCTCGCGGAAAAAAATATTATGTACAATTTTTATTTTCATAAAAAATATGAAAATATTTTGTTATGAAATTATAAGTTATTAGTTAAATTTAATTTATTTTTTATATAGAGGCTGGTATTTTCTCTCCTGATTCCATGTATGACTAACCATCCTGTGAGATGGGAATAATTAGATGAACGTATAGCTAGTTTTTGATCCACACTGTGTAATCTTTCATGTAGAATAGGGTAGCAGCACATTGCTGTGCATACCTAAGTTTGTTATTTTTTTGTATTAATTCAACCTTTTACCTAGCCAGAAACGCACAAACCCATACAACCCATCTAACCTTTCGAGTCCCACGCAAAGAAAAACGTAGATATTCGTGACACGTTACTTTTCTTAATACGTTGCATATGTAACGTTGGTTACAATAACGTATAAAAGGCAACTTGGCGTTTTTGAGAGGCCCGTGGTATCGCAAATCTACACAGTGCACATATTACAATATGTTACATTATAATTATTTATATTAATTCATTACTTATTACTGTGGGCTTCCACATGTATAACTGATGACTACATATATATGTACTTCATGTATATGATATGATAAAATACATCATATGACAATTATATGATAAAAGAATTTGGGAAATA